ATGCACTGAAGATTTATTAGCAATATGAAAATACGAAAGCAGTACTCATTCACATTTTGTCCCTCACAATAAAGGAAGATCACACGCAAATTGCATCATATTTTAGCAACACATAGCCTGTGTTCTGAAATACACAGATATTCTGCATGTTTACTTTTTAACACTTGGCTGAAACTTCTAAAGCGTTTTTGTACTTCCATTACACTTTCAGTGTTTTCTATTTGCAATGTAACTAAAGCTTGTTTCATTCATTTGGTAAGCTGTTAGAGCAAGCCAGTATGTTTATGGCAGCTAACACGTGCTTACACAGTTTAGTAATGAAAATTGACGCCTTCCAACAATTCTTCACATTATCTACATTCGTAATGTTTCTCCCATGTGAATTCTGATGTATAATGAAATCTGACTCCCTGCAAAAGGATTTTCACCACAAGGAACATTCACATTGTTCTTATCCTGTGTGCATTCTCTGATGTCTAACGAGGTTTGACTTATGATAAAAAGCTTTTCCACACTCACTACATTCATAAGGTTTTACTCCAGTGTGGATTCTCTGATGTGTGATTAGGTACGACTTGTAACGAAAACCTCTTCCACACTCACTACATCCATAAGGTTTTATCCCTGTGTGTATTCTCTGATGTGTAATGAGGTGTGACTTCCAAGAAAAACCTTTTCCACACTCCTTACATTCATACGGTTTTTCCCCAGTGTGGATTCTCTGATGTGCTATTAGAGCTGATTTCAGTTTAAATGCTTTTCCACACTCAATACATTCATAAGGACGTACCCCTGTGTGCAGTCTCTCATGTGTAAAAAATAAGTCCACACTCACTACATTCATAAGGTTTTACCCCAGTGTGGATTCTCTGATGCCTAATGAGGTGTGACTTCCGAGAAAAAGCTTTTCCACACTCACTACATTCATAAGGTTTTTCCCCAGTGTGGATTCTCTGATGTGTGATTAGGTCGCACTTGCAATGAAAAGATTTTCCACATTCGCTACATTTATAAGGTTTTTCCCCAGTGTGTCTTCTCTGATGTAGCATTAGATATGGCTTCAGTTTAAATGCTTTTCCACACTCACTACACTCATACGGTTTTACCTCTGTGTGGATTCTCTGATGTGCAATTAGATATGACTTCAGTTTAAATGCTTTTCCACACTCACCACATTCATAAGGTTTCCCGTCTGTTTGAATTCTCTGACATGCAATGACAGATAATTGCTGGTGAAAGGCTTTTCCATGCTCATTACATTCATATGGCTTCTCTGCAGTGTCAAGGATTTGATCTCCCGTGAGTTCTGACTTCCAGTCAATGTTTTCTTTACATTCATTGCACACATTCAAATTTGCTCCCCTTTCACCTCTATGTTTACTATTAATACAAGATTTAAAGTTAAAAGGCTTTTTACAGTAACCACATATATAACAACTTTTTGCTGTTTGGGTTATCTCATTGACTTTGACATCTTCTTTACAAATAAGTGATTTCTCACTCAGGAAATGCTCATGGGATTTCTCTCCTGATTGTGTTTGTTGATGATTGTCAAAGTCAGGATTGTTACTTAACATTTTCTCTTTAACCTGAACAGACTCTCCCACATTGACAGGTTGCTTATTACATGCATCGGTGGTGTAAGCTGTCTCACTCACAAGGAATATCTTCTTCCTGCTGAAAGTTTTTTCTTTCCCACTGGGTTCAAAAGACTGCTCACAAGTGTGCATCTTATCATGTTGTCTGAGATTTTCCCCACTCTGGAGTTTGATCTCAGGCAAATTAGAGGCATGCTTTATCTCCAGAGGCATTTCATCAGGCATCCTGGGGGAAGAAAAGATTTCAAATGAGCTACGGTGTCTTGCTTCTGTCCATTCACAAGCAAGTTGACTTCTAAGCTCTCTACTTGCAGGTGCTTTCTCTGCCCTGCATCCAAGTTTCCCTGGTCACTTAGCAAGTAAAACATCTATTTAAAACTGATTTTCTGTTTCTATAGTATGATACAGAAAGAAGCACTGAGTTTTTCTTGTAACATTTGTTCTGGTGCACGATGTAACACCTGAACAAAGACCCAACCCCCAACCACTGCCTTGCTCTAGCTAAATCTCCAGAGGGATTACATTTTAGAGAGGTGGAGGTAGGAAGTACAGCAGTTTAATACTTCAGACGCTCTGCTCAGCTACTACCTATTTGCACTTTCCTTATCAACTCAATTTTCATATTGGACCCTAGGCTCTGAATGCTTGTGTTTGGACAGCTCCTTAGGGCAAACTGACAGTCCCCAGCAAAGGGCACTTTTCTGCATGACTTCAAACACCCTAGGTGGATTCTGAATGCCAAGCACCTCACATGTACCCAAACTCTGGGTTCTTTTCTCATGTTTCAGGTTGGTTTATCCTCTCTTGAGTGATAAGACTCCTTGTACCCCCAAGTATTTTTCTTGGCCTTGATTTTTTTGTTGTTGTTTAAAATTTATATATTTTTATTGGAAAGTCAGATATGCAGACAGCAGGAGAGTGAGAGAGGAAGATATTCTGTCTGTTGATTCACTCCCTAAGTGACCACAATGGCTGGATCTGAACTGACACAAAGCCAGAAGCCAGGAACTCTTCTGGGTCTCACACACAGGTTCAGTGTCACAAGCCTTTGTGCTGTGCTGCCCAGAGAAGGCTCAGGGGACACTGCAAAACCTAAGACCCTTTTGAAATTTTGTTTTCTCCACCTCTCTCCATTCAAGAGGCACACCATCCTCTGGCTCTCTCCAAAGTAACGTAATTTCACTCCATCTGCTTTCTATATTCACCTCGTGATATTAATTTAAGAAATTAAAGATGCGATAAAAAAATTTAGGGAAACCAATGAAAACTCTGATACAACATTCCAAAACTTGTGGGACACCGCCAAAGCAGTGCTAAGAGGTAGATTCATCGCAATCGGAGCGCATGTCAAGGCCCAAGAAAGACGCCAAATACAGGAACTAACCACACACCTCCAGGATCTGGAAAAACAGCAGCAGAAGAGTCCCACGCACAATAGGAAACAAGAAATCATCAAAACAAGGGAGGAGATAAACCAAATAGAAATAAAAAAAAAAACTATACATAAAATCAACAAATCAAAAAGTTGGTTTTTTGAGAAAATAAACAAAATAGACACTCCACTGGCCCGATTGACAAAAAAAAAAAAACAAGAGAAAGTGAGAATCAATAGCATTAAAGATGAAAAAGGCAACATAACAACAGACACTGCAATCATTAAGAAAATAATTAGAAATTACTACAAAGAACTGTACTCCCACAAATTTGAGGACCACCAAGAAATAGAAAAGTTCTTGGACTCCCACCACTTACCAAAACTCAGTCTGGAGGCAACTGCAGAATTAAATAAACCCATAACCGAGGTAGAGATTGAAACAGTCATCAAGGATCTCCCAACGAAAAAAAGCCCAGGCCCAGACGGCTTCACTACAGAATTCTACAAAACATTCCGAACAGAACTAACCCCAATCCTCTACAAGCTCTTCAAAACAATAGAGGAGGAAGCAACCCTCCCAAACTCATTCTATGAAGCCAACATCACCTTAATCCCAAAACCGGACAGAGAACCATCAGAGAAGGAAAACTACAGACCTATTTCTCTGATGAACATTGATGCTAAAATTCTCAACAAAATCCTAGCCAATAGAATTCAAAAAATCATCAGACAGATCATTCATCCGGATCAAGTAGGATTCATCCCTGGAATGCAGGGATGGTTCAACATTCGGAAATCCATAAATGTTATAAACCATATCCAAAAACTGCAAAACAAGAACCACATAATACTTTCAATAGATGCAGAAAAAGCTTTCAACAAAATCCAACACCTCTTCATGCTAAAAGCTCTAGCCAAAGTAGGCATAGATGGGAAAATCCACAACATAATTAAAGCAATTTATGAAAAACCCAATGCCAGTATCATACTGAATGGAGAAAAACTAGAACCCTTCCCACTGAGATCTGGAACAAGACAAGGATGCCGGCTATCACCACTGCTATTCAACATAGTCCTAGAGGTACTTGCAGAGGCCATAAGACAAGAAAAAGAAATCAAAGGCATACGTATAGGAAACGAAGAAGTCAAGCTTTCACTATATGCAGATGACATAATCCTATACATAGAAAAACCAGGAGACTCAATACAGAAACTGCTAGAACTTCTACGAGAGTTTGGCAGAGTGGCGGGGTACAAAATTAACGAACGAAAATCAACAGCCATAGTGTACGCAAATAACACCAAGATGGAAGAAGATCTAAATTATATTTCTTAAGTTGCATTTTTGTACAATTTCACATTCATATCATGTTTTAATTATGGGCACAGCTAATATTAAGTATCTTTATCAGGGCCCTGTGAGATATACTAGTGGCTAAATTCCTAGAATGAATGTACTAGGATCACATATGGGTGCTGGTTCTAATCCAGGCAGCCTGCTTCCCATCTGGCTTTCTGCACGTGGCCTGAGAAGGCTGTTAAGGACAGCCCAAAGCCTTGAGATTCTGCAGCTTTGTGGGAGACCTGGAAGGGGTTCCATGCTCCTTGCTTCAGCTCTAGCTGCTGTTTTTGCCTGGGAAGTGAATCAATGCATGTAAGATCTTACTTGCTCACCTCTTCTCTGTATGTCTGACTTTCCAATAAAAATAAGTATATCATCAGAAAAAAGTCACCTTTGGCAATGCAACTCCCTGTTCGGTTATTATACAATTTTTGTGATTATAACTTGCCTGAAGATTATTTCTTGACTTTCCTGATTAGCTCCAAGCAGCTTATTCTTTCTGTAGCGATCTGAAATGAAGAAAAGAGTAACCATCTCCATGAAGCTCATCTAACTTTTTCTGTTAAAATGTTCAATTAAAGCTGATGAGGTTTGTTGACATTCTAGATTGAGCACATTTTAATATTAGGGAAATGTGGACATTTATGAGCATGATTAATGAGCATTGCTTCTTTATTAATAATTGACATAACAACTTTTTAAAATAACAATTTCAATTACTTCAAATTGTGTATTTTAAGTTGATGCAGGATAGCAGTGAAAATGTGGCACAGAAACTCAAAATAATGCTTGGGATGGATATCGTACATCCCATAACAGCACCAATCTGTCTTGGCTTGAGCACTCTGATTCAAAGACAATGTCCTGACAAAGTGTATCTGGCAGGTGGCACATGATGATTCAAGTGCTAGGCATCATGAAAAGACCAATAAGTAATTCTAGATGTAGGGTTACTTGCCAACAAATTTTGAAAGGCATTGCTAGAGTAAAACTACACATGGAGATTGTGGAATTCCTGTGTCTCATCAGCTATCCTCTGGGAGGAAACTTAAAAAACACAAAAACAAGAGGTGTCAGGTGAAGAGAAATGACGGCAGTTGTAGAACCGATGGCCGTCTGTACTAGTCAGGGCAGTGGCACTCAAGTGTGCATCCTGAGTGGGGTGTGGGGTGTGCCGGACTGCAACGCTCACCAGCTCGGGCTAGGTCAAGGAAGGACGGACAGCGCCGGACACTGGCCTAAAGCCCAGTGGCATGTAGGAGGACTGTGTCTGGAAGGGGATAAGGGGGAGAAACTTGGGAAGCTCCCCTGGTGAGTTTGGTGAGTTATAGCTCCCACTGGTGAACAGGTGGTCTGGACCTCGGGGTCAGACAGGCTGAGCAAAGTAGCAGCAATGGCTCATCAATGTAAAAAAAGCGATGGAACAGGTGCATCGGGCAGTACTGAGCAAACCTTAGCTAGGTTTTTGCACCAAGTGGTCTGCGTGAGCCACGGATGCTGAGCCACAATGGCTAAGGTGGGGTCACAACAGGTGAGAGGCTGTCCAAAGCTGAATCTGAGCCACCACTGGCATATATGGGATCTATGGCTGGGAAGAGGCCCAGTTGGGGAGCTAAAGGGACACCCTAACTAGGTAGAGGTTCCCACCAATGGGCGCACAAGCTGGAATGGGGCTGTGTTCAGGTCAGGATACAGTTGTAGTCTCCATTGGCACAAGTGTGGAGGTGAACTGAATAGTGCTGCCTCATGAACCCACTGGTCTGCGTGAAATCTGGCACTCAGAGGCGTTCTGATGGAAGAGCCTGGGCAATGTCTCTGGCAGTACACAGACTCGGTAGGTAAGTGCAAGTAACACGAAAGGAAACAGCCCAGAAGAGGTCATGGAAAGTGTCCAACAAGCGTACATTAGGCATGGGTCGGTAGCAGACCAGGCTGAACCAATTCACATCATCCACTGGCAAATCCAAATGCCAGAACAGAATGTGGGTCAAGCCAGGTTCACTTGTGAAAAAAGCAGTACACAAAATGGAATGCCAAGAGGAGGTTGCCTGTGCCAGATGTGGCAGCAGCACCCAAGCAGCACATGTGAGAACCAGGAAGGGAGGGGGCAGAACCGGCAGGGGAATAACTGGTGGTTCCCTTGCTGAACAGCTACTCCCACTGGAAAGCGTGCTCTGGGATGGGGGCAGACCAGACTAGGCGGGGCCAGGGACACAGCACCTGTGTGAGCCTCATGTGGACCGGATCAGGGAAAAGCCAGGCTGGGCTGATGGCTCCTCATGGTGCAATCCACAGAGTGGGTGAGGGTTGTTGGGGCTTAGCCACAGCATCAGATGGCAGAAGGTGGCACTGGGGGCTAGTTACGTCAAGTTAAAGCACAGAACCACCTGGAGAGTGCATAATTGGGAGTGGGAGTGTCCTGGGAGAGAAATATTGGGCTCCTCCCTGTTGGGCTACCACCCCCCACAGAAGGGCACGAAAACTAGGACAGGGGCTGGGGTGGCTTGA